CCACTGGGAAAGGTTGTGTTTGAGATCTTATTGAGATTTACAAGTGGAGATGTCAAGTAGACGGTTGGATATCAGAGTAAAGTAGAGAGGTGAGTCCCTGCTGGAGATAAAAGTAGGGGTCGCTGGCGTGTGTCTGATCAGTGGGACTGTGGGGATGGGTGTTATCAACCAGGGAGGGAGCCCTGGGCATGGAAGGAGGGAGCCAGCATTCTACCTCAAGGGCTTCTGACAATGAACAGCAGACAGAAGAGAATGAACTAGAAAAGTGGACTGGAAGAGTGGCCAAGAGGACAGACAGTGTGATGTCACAGGAGTGAAAGGAAGAGAATTGTGTATGGAGGGAAAGAGCTGACAATAATATCAAGTGCTGCTGAGAGGTCAGATAACATGAGGAATTTTAAAAAATATCATTGGGTTTAATGGATGGAGGGAAGCCCTCAGGATTTTTCCTATGCTCAATTCCTTTATCAGGTTAGACCAATTATCAAGTTGGAATGCAGCAAACCACATTTGTTTAACTTTTAGTAAAAATGGTATTGTCAAAATACTATTCAGTGTGACATTCTCACCTCCTATTGAGAGAGTGTAAGAATTATTTTTAAAAAAATGTTTTTGCATCTTTTGGAAACCATTCTTGAAAACATCAATCAAAGATGTAATTCATTGTATTACCCAGTAATTTATATATAATGATTTTCTTGAAAATACTCTCTTAGAATTTAGTACCAGCAAAAAGTTCCTCTCTTTTAAGGAACTGGTAAGTTTCCTTTAATTGAATGAAGAAACAATATAACTTAATTATGTTAACCTAATGTGTATTTAACCTATATCTAACATTATAACCTAAATACAGCCAGGAAATTCAGAGCTACACTTAATACAGAAGGAACCTAACTAATTAAATTTAGTTATTTCCTATATAGGTTTTGTTCTCTGACTATCTTTAGATATAGTTGCATTTGGGCTTAATTTGTGAAATGATTCATATTCTTGTTAGAATAAAAGTAATTAAAAGTTAGCATGTGAAAGAAAGTTAAATAAGTAAAAAATAATTTGTACACAGCATATTCCCAGTAATTTTGATGGGAAGTCAGACACAAATAGATTCAATTCTGGCTTGGTCACATGCTAGCAGTGTAACCTTAACTTAATCTAAAAAGTGGATGTTAACACCTATCACATGAGGTCGCTTTAAGGAGTAAATGTGATAATATATAAAAAGTACCCACTCTACTTGGCACATAATATGGGTGTAACTGTTGTTTTCTCTTGACGTCGTTCTCCAGACATCAAATTATGTTTTCATGGTAGAATTTTTTAAAAGGTAACATTAGATTTTTTTAGTTGTGTCTTTTCTTTGGCTGGCCTTGGCTACAGTGGCTCTCGCTGTCTTATTTTAATATATAATTCTAATGCCTAGCACATTTACTAGCATGTGATCTGTATCCAACTCATGTTTGTTGAATAAACTGGTTAATGAGTGAATGGCAAATGGATGATTGAATGAAAGACTTGAAGTGTGTCCACTTCCATCTCCCTCTCTGTCCCTCACTCTCCAGCCTTTTTTTTAGTAACAGTGCAATTCCTCCCAGTCCTTTGAGGCCCCTCAAATCCCATCTCTATTATAGAGGTTTTGATAATTATAACGTGCAGAGATTGGTCTCCTGTCTTCTACTCAGGTGGTTTTCACACTACTTTTAGCAATGTACTTTCCTTAATTGGGAAATCTTGTGCAATTGTAGTTTATAAAACAGAGAGTAAGGGGCTGCTCTGCCCACTTGCCCTTATCCACTCTATGACAGACCTTCCACGTTGCAGAGTACAGGTCTCCTCTGGGGTATCCCATATATTCTGACCCAAAATTACATTTAACACATTATCTTTTTTTATTCTCCAGTTGTTCCATGTGTTCATAATGCACATTCTGGACTGCCCAACAGAATGTAAGGTCCCCGGAGGCAGGAAGAATGACTTACACTTCCTTCCTAGCTCTTATGAGGCCTACACGAGTGCTGGATCTGTCTGTATTCACTATTTCTCCTGCTGCTTCTCCTTCCCTTCTTGAACTGATGTCAAGTGAGGTGAACTGAAATCTTCCTGATTGGTACAGTAAGCCCATCAGAAAGAGTCCTTATTATGAACATTTATTAAGTTGTGCAAAGCTCTTCATATACATTGCCTTATTCAATTTTCACATCCCTGTGGGGTGAGTATCAGTGTTCTAGATTTACTGATAGAAAACGGAGGCATTGAGATTTGAAGTCACTTGCCTCACGTCCCATAGCAAATCAATTTTAATTCAGTTACGTTTGATTCCAAAGGTCTTGCGTTTTCCACTATAGCATGTGATGTCTGTGATGTAACTATGTTTGATCTTTTCTTGGAAGGAGCCCTATACCCAGATGGAACGTCTGGAAAAAACAAGAATGATGACATGGTTCCTCCTGGCAAAAACTATACCTATGTCTGGCCAGTCAGAGAAGAATATGCACCTACTTCAGCGGACGCCAACTGCCTGACCTGGGTGTACCATTCACACATAGACGCCCCTAAGGACATCTGCTCTGGGCTAATTGGCCCCCTGCTGGTGTGTAAGCAAGGTAAGGAGGCCTCCTCTAGGAGCCTGCTCCCAGGTAACTGGTGTGTCCAGAGTGTGAATAAGATTTAGGTCTTGTTTCACACCCTCTCTTCCTCCACACAGAATGTGCCTAATTTTCCAAATTTTTCTTTAAGATTAGGAAAATTCTTCTAACATGGAAGATCAATCTGACACCGTAGCAGAGGGCAATTATTCAGATTCTAAGAACCATCACAGCATTCTGAAACTTATATGCTTTTTCAATTTTTTTAAATAATAACATTCCATGACACCACCTGTAAGAAACTGAAAAATTTAGTGAAATGACCAGGAATGCTTTTTGTTTCATTATTTCACTCGAACCATCAGTTTGCTATTTTATTCTCTAGTAATTGACTTAATGTGTCTGTGCTCTGTTCATAAAGTCTGCTTCCTTTAGAGATAGCCCGGTTTCCAAGTCTGCAGTTGTGAAGATTTCTGTTTTATGACTTTTCTTTTCTGTGGTTCTGTCATTTCCATTAAAGCCTTTTGCTGCTTTTATATTGTGGGTTATCCTTATGTATTTAGGTCTTCAACAGACTTCAAACTTACCTGACCCCAGTGGTAAGGAGCAAAGCTCACCTTTATTTAGCTCACCTTGGACTTTTTTCTCTACCCTTTTGAACGTGCCTGATAGGTATCCTGAATAGATATTCGGGGACAAGGACTGATGTGGATCAAGAGTTTGTTATAATGTTTACTCTTGTGGATGAGAATCAAAGCTGGTACCTCGATGAAAATATCAGACATTTCTGCACTGACCCCAATTCAGTTGACAAAAAAGATGCTGTTTTCCAGAGGAGTAACAAAATGCATGGTGAGTGCCTCCAACGTTCTCCAATGCACAACAGTGCCCTTGGTACTCAACGGCACTACAAGGGATGCAAAATGCACAGCAAGGTTGAGCCTAGTTTTGCAAGATTTATAAGTTAGTGATTTGAATGGTTAGAAAGTGATGTAAGATATGATACGTGGCAGAACCTAAAACAGTCTGAGAGGGGACAAGGTCATAGAAAAATTGCTTGATTAGGTACAAAATCTGGACAGAGCTGTGGTGCAAAAAATGGAGGGATCAAAGTGATAACCAGGAAAGAACTGGTGCTTGAAGTGAGCCCAGAGGATGGGTGGGTTTAGATTGACAGAAAGGAGAAAGGAGAATTAAGTCATCATCATATAGTAATCCTGCATTTTGCAACCTCTTGCTTTATCCGGTAACCATTTTCTGAGTGGCTGCTAAATTTTAATAACTACGCAATACATGGGGTTTAACTACATACTTGTGAATTTGTTATGTTTCCTAGGCATTCTTTAAATCAAAAAAGTTCATCAAGCTTCCACACTATACACCAAACCCTGTACTTGTGCAAAATAGCGAATTCCTGTAGTTACCCTGTCAGCTCAGACACAACACTTACCCATGCCTGTTTTGCAGAGTAGTGGCTTAATGTAGCATTTCAGAATGTGGGGATTAAGTGGTTTCTTTCCACTCTTTTCCAGAGAGTTCTAGTAGACATAAAAGGAGCTCTTCAATGTAAACATACCACTTCATCCATTGACAAATCTCCTCTATCTTTTGCTTGTCTGTCTCTTGGAATCACCGTAACTGAGGCAGCCTCAAAATAGTCAAAAAATTATAAGAGAAAGAGAAGGAGCTGAAGATCATCTGACCTCCCATTTTACAGATGAAAAAACTGAGGTCAAGAGACCACCAATAACTTGCCTAAGATCGAAGTGATAATGAGTGCCAGAGAGTTGCCTGAGAGAACTGGAAAGAGAAGTCCTATAGCAAATACATTTTAATTGCCTGTGTTTGATTCTAAGGCACGTCAAGGCATGATTGTCAGTACAGTGACTATTTCTGTTTTATTGCGTTGTCTTTTCCTTCTAGGGATAGTTTAGCACTCGTGTGTGTAGTGGTGCTTGGAAAACATTTTAGGAAGGAAGGAAGTGAAGGCGAGAAAGAGAAGAAGGGAGGGAGGCAGAGAAACAGTGAACGATGGAGCAAACACAGATCTAAATTCGAATCGTTGCTGTGACTAGTTTTACTCCTGTTCTTTACTAAATGGGAGTGATGGTCTCAAATATTGTTGAAAACTGTGAACTGTGATGGTTTAAGACTCAGCTGCCCACATAATCTGTCTTACTCTGTTTTTATTCTTTTGGAGTGAAAATGTCCAATAAAAAGGAACAAATTATATAAGCAAATATGGACTATATTTAAAATAAAAACCAGCCTATATGCAAAAGTAGTTATTTGCAGGCAATCAGTCCTCCCAAACTGGCAAAGGTGACCCAACTAAGTATAGAAAAAATTTGACTTACAAACTATTCTATAGAAAATGCTTATTCAATACAAGATTTATTGAATAATTTATTTAAATTTACTAAAATGATTCAGAATTAATTGTGTTGCTAAGTCATTATTATCTTAATGACAATTGCTATTTAACTCTGTTCCAATTTAAGAAGGTATGTTGTGACTTTTTAAAAACCCTGAATCAAGTTCTTTTCTGCACTTGGTCAAGTCCTGGTTGCCATTAAGATTGTTTGAAAGTATTTGGTTCAGACTTATGGCATAAGCTCAAGATTTTGCCCCAGCAACACTTAGTAAAAACTGGGTTTTTTTTCTCCCTGCTTTTTAAAGTAACAAAATATAAACGTGTCTCATTAGTCCCTTCTAATCAGTTCCTTTCCTTTCCATCTTGCTACATGCTTAAGCAGATTCTACATGCCAATTTTTCTGCTAGGTTTCCATAGCTGTAAGATGAACAAGACAGGGTTTCTAGTTCTATGACAGACCACAGTTTGGTGTGGATGGCAGATATGCAAATGAAGGACAGATACGCAAATGAAGGGTTACTTAGGAAGTATCAGCAGAGCTCTGTTTACTCCCGACCTAATTACCCTGTTCACAAAGAAGCTCCAAGGCTGTTTTCAGTGCGTGCTGATGTTCACTTTTATTGAGTGCTTTTCTCTCAAAAAAGACCAATACAAAGCTTTTCCTTTTTTTTCTGGGACAATATAATTTTTTAAAGAGTCAGGCTTTTCTGCATGAAAACTTTACAACCCATGATCTTTACTGATTTTCCAGCTGTGCTAGAGCACATATTACCAGCGCTTCTGGTCTTGCTCACCTTTGCAGGCGAGTCTCTTCCACTGGTGTGTTTCTGTTTTCAGCTCTCAATGGATACCTCTTTGGTAACCTTCCCGAGCCTGAAATGTGTGTTGGTGAATCCGTGTCCTGGCACCTATTCGGAATGGGGAATGAGATAGACATCCATACCATCTATTTTTATGGTAACACCTTCATCAGCAGAGGGCATCGGACTGATGTTGTCAACCTGTTCCCAGCCACCTTCCTCACAACAGAAATGATAGTCGAGAATCCTGGGAAGTGGATGATAACGTGCCAAGTCAGTGACCACCTACAAGGTAAAAAGAATAAAGACTGGTGTGCAGATGCTCAGAACAATACAGTTAAACCACACAGTCACTGGTGCTCATCCAGTGCCTGCTGTTAGATAGATTCTTGTACATATTATGTTTAAATAAATATTAAATATATAGCAAAATACAATGCTCATTTATTTGGTGTCCTATCAACAGATATTTATCGATCACCTCTCTATGAACAAGGCGGAGGGAGAGCGGTTGAAAAAAAAATGATGAGAACTTCAAGGAACTTACAACTAGTAGTTGCCTGTGTACAACATACACAGACATTCACAACATTAATAACATTTGAGGCAGAACGTATCTTATTCTGCTCTTTGCGTGCTATAGTCACTACTCCGGAGGAATCAGGGGGGCTTCCTAAGGAGCTGGCTCCTAATCTGAGTCTTGAAATATAGCTAGGAACCAATAGGTGAAGAAAGGAAGAAAGACTTCCCAGGTAAAGGAAGCAATGTGAACTGGGAAAAGCACATGTTCTGTTGGAGTTACTGTAAATGGAACAATAAATTTACCATTGGAAAGGACTTTCTATGTAATTAAAACCAATCCCCCATCCAATTCCTGAATTTCCTTTTTAACATCTCTTTTAAATAATTGTAGCAGCTCAGCTCTGGACTGCTCTATCGGAATATTTTTCCTTATATTGAGACAAAATCTATTGACCCATAGCTTACTTGCGGGTCTATAACAGGCGCATGATGACATTTGTTGACTTAAATGCCTGTTGAATGACTTGGTTCTGGTTCCATGCTGTTAATTGGGTGGGAGGGGGGAGAGGGAGGAGGGAGGGAGGTTTCGGTGATGGGCCATAATAACCAACTACATTGTATATTGACAAAATAAAAATTTTTTTTAAAAGTCAGTTTTTTAAAAAATTTTTAAAGACCTCAAAAAAAAAAAGTCTCATGCTGTTAAATCTGAGGAAAAAACTGTAGAATTAAGATCAAGACATTAGCAGCCATTTAAGACTAGAAAGATTGCTAAACTTGGCTGATAGTTATGGATGTAAACTGGTGTTTATACTTCACTGAAATACAATATTTCCTAAAATTTCCATCCTCTTAGATTGGTATAAAAAATTACAAAGATACATGTAATTTGATTTAAAAAATTAATATTCTCATACAGAGATAATGGCATCACATTTTGATGAGTATCTTCCCTCTCTATTTTGTATACCTTTATATATAAATACATGTCATTTATAAAATGAAATCAGACTATTAATACTGCCCTGTTGCTTACTTTTCCCACTTATGAGTATATTTGAAATATATTTTTATGTCAGTAAATATAGAGCTACTTTAACATTGTTAATGATTCCAGTGTCCATTATAAGTTTACAATTTGCTTAATGAACATTCTATTGCTTAACATTTATATTTTCTTTTTTTTTTTATTGCAAACAGTACTGATGAGTCAATTTACAAATATGTTTGCACTTTTCTCTGAACATGTCCTTGGAAAAATGTTTAGGTTTGGAATTCCCGGGTTAAAAAAATTAATTTTTTTTTTTAAGTTACAAACATACATTACCAAATTCCCTTTTAGAAATTATTTTTCCACTTGCAGTTTGTGAGCATTCCCTTTTCCCCATTCATCTGCCGATACTGAGAATTATTAGTCTTTCTATCTTTACCAATCTGATCAATGAGCAACAGTGTCGTTTGATTACTATTAAGGTTGAACTTTTTATTTTCCAGTTGTTTATTGACAGACATTATTTCTTTTGTGAATATCCATTTATGTCCCTTACCCACTTTCTACTGGGAATTTTTTTTCCTTTATTTAAAAAATTTATTTACATATTAATCTTTTGTCACATGTGTTATAAATTTCCCCCTCACCACCATTTATTCTTTGTTTTTAACTTTGCACGTGGTCCTATTTTCTGTACAAAAGTTTTAAATGTTCATGATGTCAAATCTATCAGTCTTTTCCTGTCTGATTTCTTTTATACCTTGGCTTGTGGTTTTCCTCTGTTCTGCAGCTGGTATGCTGGGGCAATACAATGTTGGTACCTGCAAAAGTGATATTTCTCAGCCCAAGATGAAGGGTCAACAGAGGCGCTACTTTATAGCAGCTGAAAAAATTCTTTGGGATTATGGTCCTCAAGGTTATAACAAATTCAGTGGCCTACCTCTAAATGCCTCTGGCAGGTAAGCACTCTTTGCTGGTGTTTCTAAGCCTCTCGTAAGAAAAGATTTTCCCTGTGATCTCATTTGTATCTAGGCAGTGCTCTGATGAGCACCTACTGCATAGATGGCATCATGTACTGCTTAAGGTGTTCTTAAGATAAGTACTACTGAGAACTGGCAGAGTATTTATTGCTTTGTGATGTGCTGGCTAATTCAAAACACTAAGTTCATTCATTCATTCATTCATCAAACATTACTTGAATACCTCCTATGTGCAAACTACAGTGCTAAATGCCATGAGAAATACTAACCTGACAGAGAATAGAATAAGGTCTTTGTTCATACGGAGCAGTCTTGAAGAGGGAACAAACCAGGACTTTCTTTGAGTGGAGATGAGTTGGGCAAGGAAAGTTACCATTTTTGGGTCAACTGCTGCCTGATTTACGTTATGCCCTCTCTGTGTACTATGAATGTCCTTTTCCTCTCTGTCTAGTAAAATGCCATTTTTCCTTCAAAGCCTAAATCTAATGTCACATCTTTAGTGAAGCCTTCCCTAACACCTGAGTCATAATTAATCATTTTCTCACTGGGCTGTCATAGCACATAATATTTTTCTAATTGGATCTAGCAATTCATTAGGCAGATGTGGACTCCTGTGACTTATTATAAAATTATATGCTATGATGTCTGTAAAGGTATTAAAAATGTACAGTGCAATATCAAGAATGATTGCTATTACTGTATGGTCCTTTTTTATGTCTGAGGGAATGTTTAAAAAATTCTCTTTGTGATCAGTGATACAACATCCTTTGTTTCTTTAATTGTATGTTTCATTCGTTCATTCTTTCATTCATTCACCAAACTGATGCACTTGAATCTTGCCAGAAGAATTTGTGTGACCATATATGGAAAACTCTTTGATATCAGCCTTCTCTATTGACCAGTATTTCTTCATAAACAGGATAATGAGAATTAGCATTTATTTATTTTTGTAATTGAAAAAAATTGGTTAAACATATTTGTGAGGTGCAGAGTTGAATATCAATACCTCTGTACAATATGTGATGATCAAATCAGGATAATTAGCATGTTCATCTTTACAAAATGTGATCATTCCTTGTGTCTATTAACCAATTTCTTGCTAACGCTCTTTCTCACCTCTAGTAACCACAGTTCTGTTCTCTCTTTCTGAAAGTTCAGCGCATTAATGTGATTGTTCTTTCTCTCTCTTCCTCTTTCTTTCTTTTGTTCATTCATTCTTTCTTTACTTCTGCTCCCAGTTATGAGTGAGGACATGTGGTATTTCTCTTTCTGTGCCTGGAGTGTTTCATTTAACATAGTTTTCTACAAGTTCATGCATGTAGCTGTGAATGGCAGAATTTCATCCTTTTTTATCACTGAGTAGTATTCCATTGTGTATATATACCACATTTTCCTATCTACTTGTCCATCACTGCACATTTAAGTTGATTCCATATCTTGGCTATTTTAAGTAGAACTGTGATAAACATGGGAGTGCAGGTATCCCTTTGACATGATGATTTCCATTCCTTTGGGTATATACCCAGTAGTGGGATTTCTATATTGTATGGTAGTTCTGTCTAAAGCTGTTTGAGAAACCTCCATACTGTTTTCCATAATGGCTGTGCTAATTTTCAGTCTCACCAATGGTGTAGGAGGGTTCCCCTTTCTCTGATCCTTGCCAACACTTGTTATTCTTTGTCTTTTTATAATAGCCAGTGTAATTGGGGTTAGATAATATCTCAGTGTGGTTTTGATTTGCATTTCCCTGACGCTGAGTGGTGTTGAACAGTTTTTCATCTGTCTGTTGGCCATTTGTATGTCTTCTTTTGAGATATATCTATCCAGTTCCTTTGCCCATTTTTAAAATCAAATTATTTGGTTTTTTTACTGGTAAGTTTGAATTCTTTCTATATTCTGGATATTAATCCCTTGTCAGATATATAGTTTTCTAATATTTTCTCACATTCTGTGTGTTGTCTTTTCACTTTGTTGATTGTTTCCTTTGCTGTGCAGAAGCTTTTTAGTTTGGTATATTCCAGTTTGTTTATTTGATGTAATTCCTTTTGTTGCCTGTGCTTTTGAGGTCTTATTCATAAAGGTTTGCCCAGTCCTACATCCTGAAGTGTTTCCCCTGTTTTCTTCCAGTAGTTTTATAGTTTCAAGCCTTACATTTAAGTTTTTAATCCATTTTGAGTTGATTTTGGTATATGGCAAGAGGTACAGGTCTAGTTTCGTTCTACTCCAATAACAATCTAGCAGAAAAAGAAATCAAGAAGGTAGTCCCATTTACAATAGTTTCCAAAAAAATAAAATACCTGAGAATCAATTTAACCAAGGAGGTGAGAGATCTCTACAATGAGAACTACAAAGTGCTACTGAAAGAAATTAAAGAGGACACAAAAAAATGGAAAGACATATGATGCCCTTGGATTGGAAGAATTAACATTGTGAAAATGTCCATACCACAAAGTGATGTACAGATTCAATGCAATCCCCATCAAAATACCAAAGAAATTCTTCACAGAAACAGAAAAAACAATCCCAACATTCATACGGAACAACAAAAGACCCTGAATAGCCAAAGAAATCCTGTTTGCTAACATTTTGTGGAGGATTTGTGTCTGTGTTCATCAAGGATATTGACCTGTAGATTTCTTTTTTTTATTGTGTCTATGTCTGATTTTGGTATTAAGGTGAAGCTTGCGTCATAGAATGAGTTTGGGAGAATGGCTTCTGTTTCAATTTTTTGGAGTAGTTGAAAAGGATTAGTATTATTTTTTCTTTAAAGTTTTGGTAGAATTCATCAATGAAGCCATCCAGTCCTGGGCTTTTCTTTGTTGGGAGATTGTTGATTACTGCTTCAGTCTCATTGCTTGTTATTAGTCTCTTCAGGTTTTCCATTTTTTCTTGGTTTAGTCTTGGTGGTTTTTATGTGTCCATAAATGTACCCATTTCCTCCAGATTTTCAAATTTGTTGGTGTATAGTTGTTCATAATAGTCTCTAATGATTCTGTATTTCTCTGGTATCGATTGTAATGTCTCCTTTTTCATTTCTGATTTTTTTATTTGGTTTTTCTCTCCTCCTTTTTTAGTTAGTCTGCCAACAGCTTATCTATTTTGTTTATCTTCTCAGAAAAGCAACTTTTTGTTTAGTTGACTTTTTGTATCATTCTTTTGGTCTCTATTTCATTTATTTCTTCTCTGATCTTAATTATTTCTTCCCATCTACTAATTTGGAGATTGAATTATTCTTGTTTTTCTAGTTCTTTGAGATGTGGCATTAGGTTATTTGAAGTCTTTCTTACTTTTTGATGTAAGCACTCATTGCAATAAACTTCCCTCTTGTTACCGCTTTTGCAGTATCCCATAGGTTTTGATAAGTTATGCTTATATTTTCATTTGTTTCAAGGAATTTTTTGATTTCCTGCTTATTTCTTCTTTGATCCACTGGCCGTTCAGGAGCTTGTTGTTTAATTTCCATGAATTTGTTTATTTTCCAAAGTTTTGTTTTTTGTTAATTTCTCATTTTATTCTATTGTGGTCTGAACATACATTTGATATGATGTCGGTCTTTTCAAATTTGTTGTGACTTAGTTTGTGGACTAACATGTGGTCTCTCCTGGAGGATGATCCATCTGCTGATGAGAAGAATGTATAATCTGCAGTTGTTGGATGACATGTTCTGAATATGTCTGTCAACTCCATTTGGTCTAAAGTGCTGTTTAAACCCAATGTTTCTCTGCTAATTCATTGTCTAGATGATCTGTCTAATGCTGAGAGAGGTGTGTTAAGATCCCCAACTATTACTGTGTTGGGGTTTATTTCTTCCTTAGATTAAATAAGCTTGATATATCTGGGTGCTCTGATGTTGGTTGCATGTATATTTACGATTGTTATATCTTCTTGTTGCATTGATCCTTTTATCATTATACAGTGTCCTTCTTTGTCTTATACAATGTCCTTTTTCTCTTTTTCTAGTTCTTGGTTTGATGTCTATTTTTTCTGATAAAAGTATGGCAACTCCTGTTTGTTTTTGGTTTTCATTTGTGTGGAATATCTTTCTCATATCTCTGCACTGATGTCTGGGCATCTGGTGGTGTAGTCACTTCTTTTAATTCTAGAAGTGGTTTTTGAAGGGAGAGACTTTTTCCTGTGGAAGTATCCTATATTGACAGTCAGGTTGGGTGTTTGGATCTGGGTGAGTTTGGATCTGGGTGAGTGTGGTAATGCAGCCTTTGTGTGACTTCTTTAGCTGTATTCAATCTTGGAGTTGTCTGTGGCTGCCTTTGTGGCCTAGGTGGTGGGGACCTTGGTAATTTCTTCTTGGAGTGGGTGATCTGCTGACAGTCAGTGAGCAGGTATACATTGTTGCAGCAGGTCTTGGCAGTTCTGTAGAAGGTCACTGGATCAGCTGTTGAGCCTGGAGCAAGCCTGCATGGATGCTGCAGGACCCATGCTCTCTAGTGGTGTGCTTTGGGGAGAGAAAGCTGCTACCCAATCAGTTATTCATTTGGGAGTAGGTGTACACAGGTGCTGCAGGGCCTGGCAGCTCTGCAGGTGGCTGCCTGATCAGTGGTTGGGCCTGATGCAAGCCTTCAAGAATGCAGCCAAGCCCAGAAGCTCTGTAGAGGTCTGCCTTGGGGTATCAAAGACTTGCCCTGTCTGCTCTTGGTCTGGGAACAGATATACACTGACACGACAGGTCCTGTCAGTTCGGTATAGGGCCACTGGATCAGTTCTTAAGTCTGTAGCAAGCTTGCAAGGAAGCAACAGGCCTCCTTGGCTCTGTGGAGGGCTGTGGGGGTAGGAGAAGCCACCTCTGGGCTGGCTGTCTGTGTGGGCATCCATAGACTCAGTGGGTCCATGGGTTGTGCAGGGCTGGTGCATGCCAATATGGAGAATAACCACTTATTGGTGGCTTCCCTACCCAGCTGGTCTGCCTGCCTGCCCCAGGGGGGAAGGGAGGGAGTGTCATGTGGGCTCAGACACTGGGGTCTCGGTCCCTCTCTGTTCTAGGTTCCAGTCAGCTAGGGCTGTGGTCTTGCTGGCACCCATGCAAATGTGTGGAGGCATGGGGCTGTGGGCCAATATGGGCACCTGTGGGTTCAGCAGATTTGTGGGCTATGCAGGGTGGGCCACAAATGTGGAGAACCACTTCACCTTGGCTTCTCCTCAGCTTGTCTGCCTGCTCACCTAGGGGGGGAGGGGATTCTGCATGGGTTCAGATGCTGGGGTCTTGGTCTGTCTGTCTGTCCTAGGCTCCAGGCAGCCTGGGCCATGGTCCTGCTAGTGCCCATGTGAATGCAGTAGAATGCAGGGAGGGCCTCCAGACAAAGGGAGTCAGTCTCACTGGGTCTGGGGCAGGGCACACCCTTGCTGCAGGTTCAGTTCCCAGAGGGCACTGTATCTCAGCTGCTGAGGGCAGGAGGGATTTCTCTTTCCTTGGGCTTCCACTATGAGACTGTGCACTTACATTAATCTCCAACTACTCTCCAACTGTGCCCGGATCCCAAAAAAATGGGGGGACTCTCTTGAGGCAGGGATCGCTGGTGTTTGTGGCAGCAGTGAAAGCAGCTGGGGTATTTTCCAGCTTACTTTCCCCCCGTCTGAGTCTGAACCAGTCCCTGCAGCTGGGCAGAGGTTGGTGCCGTTCCCATCTTCTGCACTTCACAACAGTCTTGTTGTGCTCCTGGTGCTCTGCAGAGTATTTCCTCAGTCATTCCAGTCAAAATATATTTGTTTGTCTGTTATTTTGGCCTCTTTTTATGGGAGGGCAAGGGCGGGGACTAGTGCAAGACCTCACTAGTGAGCCATCTTGGGGAAAAAACTTCAGAATTAGCATTTAAAGTTATGACTTAGAGGAACTTCTAGAATTCTGAAGTGCCTTCTGAAATATGAAAGATGAAACTATATTCAATCGATATTTAATGTGATGTGTAAAAGCACGATGTACTAGTTGACATGTGGGATGCAAGAATATCTAGCAATGTTCCCACCCTCAGGTGGGGAAAAATGGGAAAAGAGAAGTAACTTTGCAAGTTACAGATAAGAGTAAGATGAGCGCTCCAGAAAGTGAGTTCTCTGGGCATTCAGAGAAAGCTAGGTTAGCCAGGAGACACTTCACAGAGGAAGCGGGATTTATGCAGGATCTTAAAGAATAATAGAACTTACATAAGCGAATAGAGAAGAGAGGGAAATTTTAGATGCAGGGGTTAATGTAAAGCACCTACTATATAGGGGAAAGTGATTAAGTCAGAATGACTGGAGTGGAGGATTTGCATAGGGAAATGAGCATTTGCATAGAGCGTAGGGAGAGAATTGAGAAAAAGTAAATTGGATATCAATTGTAGAGGTCCTTTAATCCTTTCAAAGTTTATTTAATTGGAAACTGGAAGCAAACAAAGTTGGAGATCAATGTTGGTAGTAGTGTGCCTGTTGAGAAAAACAAAATGAGTGAGCTACTAGGAGACAAGCTGCAGAATATGCAGATTGGAGGTTTACGTAAGGATCCAAACCCAAGGTGAGGGCATGAGCTGGGGTTGTGGCAGAGGGAAGAAAGGGAAAAAAAAAAAAAAGATGCAAAAGGGACGTAGAAAAGAAAGGGTGCAAAAAACAAATTTGAAAGTAAGGGTGAATGAGATAAGGGGATGAGGCAGAAAGAGAAGACAAAAGCATTCTGTGTGACTCAAGAGCAATGGTACCACTGACGGAAGTAAAATAGTATAGCGAGAGCATTAGTTCATACGATAACTCTCTACTAATTAAACTATTTGATTAACCAGACAGTCCATTCCTAAACCATGCCAGATATCAAGGAGCTTACTATCTGCAGAGATTATTGATATTGGCATCAGGAAGAGATAGAGGGATGCTTATTCTGCAAAGAAACCAGTTAGCTCTTTGTTGCTTTGTAGGACACCATTTGGGACTCCAGTACTGGTAAGGAAGGAGTTTACCTTTGCATTCTTCAATTGCTGGACCTCTGGGGAAGAAAGTACAATGGCTAAGAGAGAAATGAGCTTGCACATCATCCAGCTTCTGAAGACTTTCAAGGCTGGTTGACTATTCCTGGGAACTTTGTTGAAGCTGTCTTTTGTGGGGAGATGGGTGGGTGAGTGGGATAAGGATAATAAAATGAAGCTCCGTAATTAAGTATTGGTGGATAGGTTGAGAGGTGTTCTCCGTCAGGTTCCTATGTCTTTTCACAGTGACTCTGAGCTCTACTTCACACAAGGGGACAACAGAATTGGAGGAAAATATTGGAAGGTTCGGTATACGGAGTATGTCGATGCAACTTTTACTCAGAGAAAGAGACTCTCTGGGACAGAAGCCCATCTTGGAATTCTTGGTACAGTAAAACCATCCTCATGTTTTGAACTGGGGGAGATGTTTCAGCTGGGCATATACATCTACATAGAATGACTCTTCCTTTCTTGCTCCTATTTACTTCTTTCTGTCTCTTTTCATCCTCTTCTTTCTCCTCTTGATATTTTTCAGGCCCAGTCATTAAGGCAGAGGTGGGTGACACCCTGTTAGTGACCTTTGCTAACAAAGCTGACAAGGTCTATAGCATTTTGCCCCATGGCGTGATTTATGACAAGGCCTCCGATGCAACCCCAAACATAGATGGTAAGTCTCAGCCTGGGCTTGGGAGAAACAGGATGAGTTAGCAAAGGACTTAGAATTAGACAGACCTGGTTCAAATCCCGGTCCCTTCCCTTACCAGTTCTGTGAGCTTGGGCAATTATTTAAACATTCTGAACCTGGTTCTTCTCACCTACCAAATGCAGGTGAGAGCATTCATCTCACAGTGGTCTCCCCTAGAAGGATGCATAAGAGAAAACACCTGTCTTCCACCAATATGGCATAATGAGAGAGACATCCAGGGCTAGAAGGCCTAGTCTGACAAGTTTAGGGTTCTTTGCTGTTGCTTTGAGTAATTATTCCATTTACATCGACAGGATTTCTGAAACCAGGGGCACATGTTAAACCAGGTGAAACCTTCACATACAAGTGGATGGTGCCTGAAAGCGTAAGCCCAACAGCTGGAGATCCTCCCTGTCTGACCTATCTTTACTTCTCAGCAGTCGAGCCAATCAAAGACACTAGCTCTGGCCTTGTAGGGCCTTTGCTAGTCTGTAAAAAGGGTGCTCTCAATGCTGATGGGACACAGGTAGGCCACCAAATGTCGCCAAGTTCCTCTCAGGGTTGTATAAAGGAGAGCAGTAATATGGCTAGAGATAAGAGAGTAACAGTACTTTTGAAATTGGCTTCTATATAATGGGGATTTTTTTTTTTTTTATAAATTTAAGATCTGAATTTCCAAAGTTACAAATGCTGTCCCAGGAACCTATGATTTCTGCTTATTGTAGTTGGGATTCAATGGGCCTCTTTTCCTGCACCTTGCTTTGATTTTGGAATCTTCTGAGATCCACTGGACTGCTATTGGGATCCTTTTTGGTTGGTTATTATTATTATTTATTATTTATTTTTATTTTTTGGTGGCTGGCAAGTGTGGGGATCTGAAGGATCCTTCTTGGTTGGACAAGTTTGCTCAAACTTGGCTGCACATTATAATACCCTGTGGACCTTTGAAACATCTTTTATTCAGATGCTCCAGGCCAATTAAATCAGAATTTCTAGGTGATTCCAATGTACAGCCAAGGGTGAGGACCACTGTAACTCACTACTGTAGACTGGAAGTTAATCACTATGGCTGAAGGAAAAAGACAGCATGTAGATAACTTCCTGCAAGTCCCCACTTAGAGGCTTGGGTGGTTGCACTGATTATTGTGGCAAAGCATAGCTTTTCAAGATACTTGTATGTGATATTAAAAATGTGGATGAAAAGAGGAAAATCCAGTCATTTAACCATTTACTTCACTTGTTACATCACCAGTCAGAAATAGGAAGACAATTTATTTAAATGGTATATAATGTTTGGCATTACATGGACCCACTTCTGGTCTCAAAGGAATTTCTAGGTGTAGAGGACACAAAGAATTTGGTCCACCTCAGATTTTCATTTCTCTGCATGAAGGACCAATTCTGGAAATGTCTATTGCATGTGTAATAAACTGAGTATTTGTGCTGTACCTCAACAGTTATATAAGGCAAAGCAGAATGATTATTCATGTTTTAAAGCTGTGGGGTTTTTTCGTTTTGTTTTTCCTGCACTGTTTGAGATGTCTCTTTGGTGTGTATTTCCTAAAATTAAGGACACTCTCTGACATGAACACAGTAAAATTATCCAACTCAGGAAATTAACCTTGATGTGATCAGAGAGAGAGAGAGAGAGAGAGAGAGATTATAAAAAATTGACTCATGTGATTACAGAAGCTAAATGAGTCTCAAAAGCTGCAGGGTGAGTCAGCAAGCTGGAGACCCAGGAAAGCTGATGATGTAGTCCCAGTCTGAAAGCTGGCAGGCTTGAGAACCAGGAAGAGCTGACATTTCAGTTCAAGTTTGAAGGCAGGAAAAAGCCAAAGTTTAAGTTCAAAGAAAGACAGTCAGGTAGGAGGAATTTTCTCTTACTTGGGAGAGGATCACCCTTTTTTGTTCTATTTAGGCCTTCAACAGATTGGATGAGTTTCACCCACATAAGAAAGTAAAATCAGCTTTACTCAGTCTCCCAATTTAAATGTTAACCTCATCCAAAAACAGCCCAAATAATGTTTGAACAAATATCTGGGCATCCTGTAGTCCAGTCAAGTTACACATAAAATTAACCATCACATGGGGTCCTGTCACTTTTCTTCTAACCTTTTTCTATGCTAATTTCCCACCCTCATAGACCCAGTTATTTTCCAAGTACCTCTCAAGTGATAAGGTTCTTCAACTCAATTCTTCAATGATTGGTCCTTGTACTATGAACAATTGCAGTCACAGCTAATAATAATAGCATTCAGTATTTAGTATTTGTCAGGTGTTGTGTTGAGTGCTTTGCCCATATTATCTCATTTAATCTTCACAAAAAAAAACATGAGGTGGGGACTATTGTTATCCTCATTTTGCAAATAAGGGAGTTAGGGGTTAGAAAACATGAATCACTTGCCCCAAGTTTGACAGCAGGTGAACAGAAGAGTGGCATTTGAACCTAGGTCTGCCTGCTTATGTAGCCCATGATCTTTCTTAAATATATTTTTGACCTCTTATTTTCTCCCATTTAAAACAAATTTTATTTTGAAGAATTTTAAGTCTGCATTACTTCTTTCCAAAGCCTGTGATCTTAAACTACTGCCTACTAAAATGTCATGTGAGAAAAGCAGTAAGTATATATGAGGTATCATAGAATCATAAAGCAAGGAGTATCCACATCATTGATGAGGAGTTAGGAAAGCTTCACAGAGGTGGGCAGCAAAGGTAACCCTTGGGGTTGGATTATGGGTTTTCAAGAGACAAGGGGGCAGACTATCAAAATTGAGGGAAGGCATGCACAAAGGACAGAGGCACGCAGAACAGAGCATATTCAGAGAGCTACAAGGAGCTTGGTCTTGCTTTGGTCAAAGTGCCAGGAGGGAAGGGTCAAGAGATGAGGCTGAACAGGTAGGCAGGGACCAGATCATTGTGAGTTAAGATTGTATTGTCCAATTTAAGGAGAGAGATGTGATCAGATGGCATTGCTGAGGGTCTCTCTGAAGCAGGCAGCAGAATGGAGGGTAGCTTGGATGGGGAGCATGTTAGAGACAGGAAGACACAAAGGGACAGAAAATAAAGTTACCTCTCTGTTTCACCTTTTAAGAAATGCATATTTCAGCAATTTGGGATGCCATATAGTCAGATATGCTCACATAGATTCATTAGGAATATACACAGTGGTAAATAATCTATAGTCTCCTCAATATCTACACAAGTTAACGTAACTTAGCCAAGTATCATCAGTTTTATGAATTCATTATTTCACTCACAAATATGTACTGAGTGCCTGCTTTTCCAGGCTTTCTTCTTTGAGCTGGAGATACGGAGATAATGTCCCTACCCTCATGAAGATCGCATAAAAAAAAGTTTAGAAAATAAGTTCATAAATAAGAATATAATTCCATGTAGAAATAAGGGCTGCAAAGAAGAGTGAAGTAGGGTAGAGTGAGTGAGTTTGTGGGTGGGGTGGAAGATGAGTGACTATTTTAGATGGGGTGGTCAGGGAAGGCCACTCTGAAGAGGTGACATTTGTGCAGAGAACTGAATGGAGTAAGAGAAGGAGCCAGACAAGAGGAACACTCTATACAGCACAGGAAAAGGCCCTGAGGCAGCAGTTAGGCTGGTCATTTCACTGGGAGAGCAAAAGGCCAGGGTGTCTGGAGTAAGCTAGGACATGAGTACAAGGATATGAAGTCAGGGAGAAAAAGAGAGGCCAGGGCCAGGGCTAGGAGGTCCTGGTAAGGAGAAAAAGGAGAGGAAGAGCAGCCTGACAACAGGAGTACTGCACAGTGGAAAGGCTTCTGAGCAGGGACTTNTTAACACTACATTCAACCTGCTTACAGTTATCTGTGCGATACAGGTTCTGTAGTAGGAACAGAAATTCCTTTAGTGTAATGGCCATAATTTTTCACTGTACAATTGTTTTGATTGACTTTTGTACAACAAACACTACAGTCAAATCCCACTTGCCATTTTTCATACATAACCTTATCATTCTTTTCCCATTATAATTAATTTCACTTCTCTTTTCAGCCAGCATGACTTTTTTTTTGTTTGTTTTCTTTTTGGCTTTACTACATCTCCACACACACAAACATTTTCGTGTGTGCTCAACTTAAATGCAACCTTTTTCATGATCCAGTTCTGTTTGTCCGGTTTCTCCAGAATTCATAGCACTAGCCAATGACACACGTGTTATGACTTTAATCTCTGGGAAGCGGGAGCACGGGAGAAGAGGAAGGAGGCACAGAAAAAGAATGAGTCAAAATGAAGGCAAATTTCGCAGATGTCCACCACCTGTTATCTGTCATGTGCTGCTGATGGTCAATCTTGTCTGACCACCTTCCAAGAAGAGGTGTAGCAACAAAGTCTCAAGCTATTCCGTGAAATTGGTTGGGCTGAAGGAGAAAGAGAAACAAATGTCTCTGCCCTTTTCTGACCCCA